AAAAAAAAAAAAAACACAGACAAATGAAGACTGTTTTAAAGATGATTCACAGGTATAAAGGGCATTATACATTGCTCTTATACATTTATAAGAGTAATTGTGTGGCTTTGTTTCGCGATAATGTCGCAAAGCATGAGACATCACGGATGTAAATCAATGGTTTCTTTGATAGTCACGATTTATTTTATTACCTCGTTAATCTTTTCAAAGCGAAAACATTGATTACAAATCAAAAGAAATTTAATAGAATAAAATATAACCACTTTCCATACCGACACAACGAAGACAAACTACACGTTACCTAACCACAGACATGCCTCTTCCACAAACAAAAGACGTCACACAATATTCTATTGACGTCACAGAGTACTAAACAAAATACTTAAAAATATCCGTAATTAATTTTTATCTTTTAGTCATAAATAATTTATTAACGTGTAAAATAATTATAGAAAATTTTATAAAAAAATTTTAAACAAGAATTCGTAATATTATTATTTACGAATAAAAATTCGGTATGTATAATAGATACGTGATACTAATTATTATTATTATATATAATAATTTAGAAATAATATTATAAATTTAATAATAATTAATAAATATTTTAAAGGAAGTAATGGCTATGGTTGTTTACCTACGACGTCACTTCCGCTTATGAATGTCAGAAGTCTGACGGCTGATAAGTCCGAAGAGAATATTTGGTTATGCAAAGCCTTTCGAAGAAAGCATAGGAAATTACAAGTCATTTTATTGGCTGCATACTAAGCGAAGTGTATGTTGTTTTCGTAGCTTCGAAGCCATGGCCGTGCATATTAACCACAATACACGGGTAAAATAATTATGAATACCACTTGAAAACAATAGGGAGGTGAGTGGAGTCGTGTAATAGATTAGTTTAATATGTCAATTTCAAACTTGTCCAGATCGACGTTTATTAAATTCATACATCGATAACATCTTCGAGTTTGTATATTTATTCTTCTTCATCTTCTTTCCATTACCCGAAAGATAATTCCGGGCTCAGCATCTCTTCTATGAATTTTGCCATTCTTCCAATTCTACTTCCGTTTCGGAAAAAGATGGCATATTTTGAACGTAATAATAACAATAATAATAACAGAACATCGAAATGCGACGAGCAAATCGATCATCAAGTTAATAATAAGGTGCTTCTATCGCCGAATCAAGCGGGACCAAGTTGTATAGTTCGACACAACAACGTTCATCCGTTGAACATGTCGTCCGATTCGAATTCCAGACATAACTCGGTAGATTCGAGTTCTTCCAGCGAAGGTAATAGCGAATGTACTGGAAGTTATATTTCGACTTGCAGTTCTCCTAACAAATCTCTTCCGAGTAGTCCCACTGGTCCTAAATTCAAATTGATTCATGAAGGTGATATTCAAATCTGTCGTTTGAATCACACTAGGACAATTCTAAGTAAAATTTTGAGTTCAAAATACTTAAGAAGATGGGAGAGGCATCATTTATTCCTCACTGCTTCTGGTATTTGTTCTAAAACAGTAAGTATATTTTATATTATGCATTTATTGATATATATAAGAATTTTTTTTTTACATTCTTGATTTTTGGCATGATTTATTTCACGTGTTTTCTACATATATCTAAATTTTTAGCTTTATCATCGCACTAGAAATAAATTCATAGCACATGTATACTGTGAGATTATATTTCATGTACTGTGTTAACTTTAGCAATATATTTTCATGTGTTTTCAGTAATTAAATTTATTTTACTCGTGCAAATAATTAAAAAATAATAATTAGACCTTGTTTTGAGAGGATATTTCAAAAGTTAATAAATATGCAAGAAATTAAATCCGTTTACAATATCAATTGTTATTCTGTTTGCTGATCAAAAACATTTTTTTTTTTTTCATAAGATCATTTCTAAATATATGTAAAATTTATATACACTTTTTAAAGAGTTTATTGATTTGAAGTGTTTGATACACTTAAATTTAAAAAAGAAATTCTAAAACAAATATGTGGTATCTGCTTAACAGCATTATTTAAGGTCTACTTAAAAGTTACACACTATTCTAAATCTAATATGACCTTGAAAAGTGTTTAGAAGCAACTGAGTCACAAAATAGCTTCTTTATTCCTAAACAATTTATTTAAAATATATTTTTAAAATAAAAAAAAAAAAATATATATATATACATGATATCTTCAATTATTATTTAGTCTCAACTGGGAATTAAAAATTGAAAAATTTCACTTTGTATTTAAAAATATTCTTAATAAGATCATTTTATACATTTAATTGTTTATATTAAATATTTAAATAGAAGAGAAATAATTTTATTAATTAACCTATTAATTATTTTATTTTAGTTATTAAAAAACATTTAAATAAAAATATGTCAGAGGGTGGAAATACAAATTTTCAATTATGAATGATCAATTTATTATGAATTTTATCACAAAAAAAAATGTAATTTTTGAGTTTCCTTTTTTTTATGTATTGATAAGAGTACCGGAAATAGTATTTCCTTTTTTATTTATTGTAGCGTATATGAAAATTTTTTTGACATTTTATTGAAAAGAAATTTCATTTATTGCACAATATAAGTTTAGAGTATAAAAATTGCCGAAGTACTTTAAGGATTTATTCGACTTGTTGCTTATTTTTCATATAAATTTGAAATTAGCAATAATGTATTTCAAATTAGAGTTTTATATCTCCAGTTTTTATAGGTCTACATATTATTTCATTATTTTACAGCCTGTATATGCAGTCAGTTAGTTACAAGTAGAATTAAAATATTTTATTATTATGGATTATTAATAATAATAATCCATAATAAAATTTCTAAAATAAGCTATGATAATAATTTTTTGAGTGCATAAATTATTCATATCCATCATTCATGCTTATACAGAAATCCATCCTANTTTGTGTTTTTTTACATTAAACCAGGCAAGTGTTTGACCACGATATCACCTACTGGGAAGCGACGATGTGGTTGAAGCTGTAGCATGCTTGCTTGTTTACTTTAATAGAAAAAAAAAAAAAAAAAAAAATAGGATAATTTTCAACATCATAAAACATTGAAGTCGATTATACAAGTGATAAATCAGATAAATTTCTTTATAGAAGATAAGCTTATATATTTTTAACCAGTTTAAACGGTAAAACTAAACAGGAAATTGTTGTATAAACATAACATTTGTAAGAATAACATATGTGTATCTAAGGTCTACTGTTATGAACTTTGAGTAATTATACATTAAATAACATCTGATTATTATTTAAAATATAATAATTATTATTATTTTAAATGTTAAAAATCGACAATAACATTTTCGCTTTCATCGAATGCAAATAATCAGTTATCGACCTAGCACCTGTATCTTGTTTACATGCAGCAAAGACATTGGAGCAGTCTTGTAACCTGGTAACCTTCTGGCACCATGTACGTCACTGTAGCGTCACGTTCTTCATGCACTCGACTTTGACGTTATTAAAAAAAAAAGAAAGAAAAAATAGAAAAGTCGATTTTGAAACTGAATTAAGTACTTGATATGAAACACTCATAATTTTTGGCGCCGTTATTGATAGTGAAAAAAAAAATCTCTCTCTTATATTTGCACTTTTATACATGAACTTGTTAATTGGAAACTTCTACGTAATTCCTAACCATCTGTATAATGTTGACTTAAGAATTTTTGGAAATATGCCACGTTTTATACATTGCTAGAGTATATTTTCCGTAACTTAATTTATTAAAATTATAATGTACTATTATGATTTTCTCTCGAATGGACGAGTTAATTAAACCAAATTAAATTTATAATTATTTGATTAAGTCGTTAATGTAAATATACGATATATTATAAATTATATATATAGGAGAATAATGCTATCTATTTAACGTTAAATATATATATATATATATTTTTTAATACTGCGCTATATTTTGAATTATTTACTGTATCGTTTTTATAANTAAAACATTGAAGTCGATTATACAAGTGATAAATCAGATAAATTTCTTTATAGAAGATAAGCTTATATATTTTTAACCAGTTTAAACGGTAAAACTAAACAGGAAATTGTTGTATAAACATAACATTTGTAAGAATAACATATGTGTATCTAAGGTCTACTGTTATGAACTTTGAGTAATTATACATTAAATAACATCTGATTATTATTTAAAATATAATAATTATTATTATTTTAAATGTTAAAAATCGACAATAACATTTTCGCTTTCATCGAATGCAAATAATCAGTTATCGACCTAGCACCTGTATCTTGTTTACATGCAGCAAAGACATTGGAGCAGTCTTGTAACCTGGTAACCTTCTGGCACCATGTACGTCACTGTAGCGTCACGTTCTTCATGCACTCGACTTTGACGTTATTAAAAAAAAAAGAAAGAAAAAATAGAAAAGTCGATTTTGAAACTGAATTAAGTACTTGATATGAAACACTCATAATTTTTGGCGCCGTTATTGATAGTGAAAAAAAAAATCTCTCTCTTATATTTGCACTTTTATACATGAACTTGTTAATTGGAAACTTCTACGTAATTCCTAACCATCTGTATAATGTTGACTTAAGAATTTTTGGAAATATGCCACGTTTTATACATTGCTAGAGTATATTTTCCGTAACTTAATTTATTAAAATTATAATGTACTATTATGATTTTCTCTCGAATGGACGAGTTAATTAAACCAAATTAAATTTATAATTATTTGATTAAGTCGTTAATGTAAATATACGATATATTATAAATTATATATATAGGAGAATAATGCTATCTATTTAACGTTAAATATATATATATATATATATTTTAATACTGCGCTATATTTTGAATTATTTACTGTATCGTTTTTATAATATAATATATAAATAAATTGTTAAGATTAAAAGAAAATTAGTTATTTTATTATAATATAAAATTGTTTAATCACAATTTTTTGTTTTGTATTTTTTTTTTAAATAAATTTTTTTAATGGACGTCGACCTCTTAAAAAAATTTCCCATTTTTCTTGACTTTCTTTATTAAAAAAAAATTATATGTTTTAGTCATATAAATATGTATAAATTTAAAAAAAAATTATAAAGGAATTTATAACATAATTTCCTATATTTTTTTTAGCCAAGTGGATTTATAGAAGAGTCGATAAGTTATTCACAAATCGAAGATATTTGTGTTATTACAAGATGGGAAATAAATCATAAATATTGCATACGGGTTATTATTTCTGACGGATCTCTCCTTTTACAGGTACCGTTCTAAAATATAAAAATAACGCTTTTGAATATTTATAATTATAGTTTATATATGTATATTTCTATTGTTTAAAAACTGAATAGTCACGTGGTGTTTGACGCGTTTTGGTTTCGTAATGATCGTTACACGTGCTTTTATAGGAACTCTCAATTTAGGTCGGAATAGGCAAGGTTGCGGCCTTAGTACTGAATTGTATATTGATAATTTTATTATAAATCACGAATCAATAAACTAGCTTTATTTTTAGATGCAGTTAAAATAAGAAAAGTACTTTAACGTGCACGAAGTTTATTTTTGGAACCTGTCAGTTTTTACAGGGGAATATTATTATATTATATTTTTTATTTTTTTAAATAAAACCTCAACGTTTTATATTTAATAATAAGAGAAGCAGAGATTTCTTTTAACATTTAGTAACTTATACGTTTAAGTGAAGTAATAAATTATTTTTTTTTTTCTTTTTAGGCTTTAAATAATTTAAAAGCCATGTTAGTACATTTATATTCAGAAATATTATATTTCGTTTATTCGTAAAAAGAAAAAAAAATCAATGCTGAGAGGTTTGCATTCTCTCTTAAATGTCAACGACCTGTAGTTTGATTGATGTTGCATTACACAACTATGTGAATTTATAGAACAAATTCCAAACCNATAAAAATATGTCAGAGGGTGGAAATACAAATTTTCAATTATGAATGATCAATTTATTATGAATTTTATCACAAAAAAAAATGTAATTTTTGAGTTTCCTTTTTTTTATGTATTGATAAGAGTACCGGAAATAGTATTTCCTTTTTTATTTATTGTAGCGTATATGAAAATTTTTTTGACATTTTATTGAAAAGAAATTTCATTTATTGCACAATATAAGTTTAGAGTATAAAAATTGCCGAAGTACTTTAAGGATTTATTCGACTTGTTGCTTATTTTTCATATAAATTTGAAATTAGCAATAATGTATTTCAAATTAGAGTTTTATATCTCCAGTTTTTATAGGTCTACATATTATTTCATTATTTTTTACAGCCTGTATATGCAGCCAGTTAGTGGCAGAGTTTTCGAGGCTCTACTGTACTATTACAATAGCATCATTACAAAAATGAATGTATAAAAATGCATATTTGTCTTATAAGATTTGCCAATAATCTACTGTAAATGATTAGCAATTCTGTATCAATCATATCACAACTTTAACATTACAACTGTATAAATTTAGTTTTGCTGTATAATTTCAGAATTATCATTATCTCAAATGTTTATTCAATGACAATAATTCCAATTCTTTTAAATTGCTGTATACAATAGTAATATTGTTCCAACTGCGAGTCCGGAGCAATTGCCAAATTTTAGAAGGAAAAAAGTAATAATTTTTTTTTTATATCATATAAAATTCATTTAGTAAACTTTTAACTTTGAAGAATATAAAATTTAATAAAAATATAAAAATTTCAAGTGTTTTGTTACAAAAGCAGTTGAAAATTTTTATATTTTTATTGTACTTTCTTTTCATAAAATTCTTGTTAATGTAATAATATTTCTAAAATTTTCAGAAGTGAATTTCTTGTCTTACATTAGTGAAAAAGTTAATAATATATTAATTACTTGTAGATGACAAATACTTGATAATTTACTTTCATTTACACAAAAGGAACTCAATGACTTTGCAGCATGAAATTTATAAAATTTTTAAGATAAGATATATACAGTAAGACTTGTTTAATGATAACCATCATGGTTTGTTTGACTTTCTGGAAGTCATATGGAAATAGCAAATGTAATTATGAAAAAAAAAAAAAAACAGACAAATGAAGACTGTTTTAAAGATGATTCACAGGTATAAAGGGCATTATACATTGCTCTTATACATTTATAAGAGTAATTGTGTGGCTTTGTTTCGCGATAATGTCGCAAAGCATGAGACATCACGGATGTAAATCAATGGTTACTTTGATAGTCACGATTTATTTTATTACCTCGTTAATCTTTTCAAAGCGAAAACATTGATTACAAATCAAAAGAAATTTAATAGAATAAAATATAACCACTTTCCATACCGACACAACGAAGACAAACTACACGTTACCTAACCACAGACATGCCTCTTCCACAAACAAAAGACGTCACACAATATTCTATTGACGTCACAGAGTACTAAACAAAATACTTAAAAATATCCGTAATTAATTTTTATCTTTTAGTCATAAATAATTTATTAACGTGTAAAATAATTATAGAAAATTTTATAAAAAAATTTTAAACAAGAATTCGTAATATTATTATTTACGAATAAAAATTCGGTATGTATAATAGATACGTGATACTAATTATTATTATTATATA